CCCTTAGGGAGGGAATTCCAGGATTTTAACCCAGTGACACTGAAGGACGGTGATGTACTTCCAAGTCAGGAAGGGGAGTGGCTTGGAGATGGTAGTGGATCTACTGCCCTTGTCCTTCTAGATGGAAGTGGTTGTTAGTTTGGAAGGTCCTGTCTGAGGATCTTTGCTGAATTTGTGCACTGCATCTTGTAGAGAGTACACACTGCTACTACTGAGCGTCGGTGCTGGAGGGAGTGAATGTTGGGTGTGGTTGATGGACTACCCATTAAACTGGTTTGCCAGTGTCAAGTTTCAAACTCCAGACATGCAAACATCCCTCCCCTCCCTCCTTTCACTCTTCCTCTTTGTGTTTCTCGGTCTTTTTCAGATGTTCCCACAGCCCTCTAATTTTTAAAACAGAAAGAAAAATATTGTAAGCACCTTAAACAACCTCAAGGGTCTAGGCCCGAAACGTCAGCCTTCCTGCTCCTATGATGCTGCTTGGCCTGCTGTGTTCATCCAGCTCTATACCTTGTTATCTCAGATTCTCCAGCATCTGCAGCTCCTACTATCTCAGGGTATGTGTTTGTTGAACAGCATAATTAAAACACACATGAAGAAGGATCGCTAAATCACTCATCAGGAGTTGAGGAAACAAGGGTAGCAGGTGCACTGGAACAATACTGCTTGCAAGTTCCCCGCCAAGACACGCACACCATTCCAACTTAGAACGATACTGGGTCAGAATCCTGGAACTCCCTCCCTAACAGGCACTGTGCAGGGTGTCGCTACGCCACAGGGGGACTGTAACGGTTCAAGAAGGCGTCTCACCCCCACCTTCAATGGATGAGTAGGCGCGGCGATAAATGCCAGTGATGCCCACGTCCCAAGAACCAGTTTTAAAAAATGCACATTTACAATATATCTACAAAAAGGGGCTTTGAGAGCTCAGGAACCACTGAGCTGGATGGCGAGGTGCTATACTTGGAGTTTTTTTTTAAAAAGTTGTGGTGCAGTCAAAGGACTTGTTGTTACTGGTCTGTCAACAATTTATGAGCAAGATTCTCAAAAAACACATCACAAGCTGCCCCAGAGCAAGGGGTAGAAGGTAATCACGTAACATGACAGACTGAACTTTCCTTCACCACTTCAGATTCAAATAAAAAAAGTAAATATAAAAATCTTAAAAACACAGTAAGCAGAAATTAGAGAAGCCACCTAGAGAATACGTCTGGACACGGGGCAAGACAAACTAGTAACACATAGGAACATCTGTCAAACTCAATGACTAATTTACAACCCAGTAACTGCTCTATAAAAAGAAACTTAAAACTGATAGGTCTCACAGACATCATTGCAAGGTTTCCAGAATGTTGACACAATCCAACTGCCCCTGATTTTTCAATCAACTGCAGGGCAGTGCGAAACACCACTGGAGGATCAGCGACGAGGGAGCGGGCACCGTCGGAGGATCAGTGACGAGGGAGCGGGCACAATTAGAGGGCATTTATCCCTCTGCCCAGTCACGAAGAAAATAAACGATGCTTCTGCAATGACTGGGAGCTTGCTTTGCAATTCCTCTTCAGGAATACAGTACTCCCACAGAATTGTGAAGCAGGTTTGGACGTCCTGGGGCGATCCAGATGCAAGTCTGCCCTTCCATATCGAAGCAATCCATGCGTGGGGTCTCGGTGAAACTCAACAGATCTGCTCAGAAGAGAGACCGAGCTCGCCTCAATCCACCAGTCTCTCCTTGTGATGTTGACAATAAAATTTCTTTCGGACGAGGTCAAACGTCCAAGCTATCCACGTTCATGTCCCTGTGTTCAGGCTCTTACGGACGGCCCTTTCGCAATCCCCGGCTGCCGCAGAGTCGACACACTGCGAACTCAGGTCTTGACTGCTCAGGGCTCACATCAGCTTGACTCACAAGTTATCGTCGCGGTCCGGGGCAACCCACCCCCCGAAAAGAAAGGGGAACTTGCGACGGCAGAATACATTCACCCCGCCACTCCGACTCCCCAGCCACAAACCACCTCTCCCCTGTCCCCCGTACCCTACAACAGGCTTGGGAAACCTGGGTGTACCCCAGGCGGCGCGCTGCGGCTCCGATGCCGCTACTTCCCGAACCTGATGCCACTACTTCCCGAACCCGGCAGCCCACTCTCCTGCGTTCCACCCTCCCGGGGAGGGAGGGACGAGGCACAAAACAGCGCTGCCCCCAGCGCCACGGTCAGCCAATGGGAAGGCAGGGGAGTCCGCTCGGCCTCTCGTGCTACCCCGCTGGCCCCCTCCCCCCCCCGCCAAACACATCCCCGGCCCGCTTGGGGAGGGCAGGTACGTGTTCCATTGCTGTCACGATAATAAAAAAAAAACCATGAGTATATTATGGGGGGGGCAAAAAACGGACATTTGAAGACTCCCTTGCCCCCAAAATCCACAAAACTGAGGCCCCGTATATTTTGCTTTTTGTTGATTTACCTCCCCCACCCCATTCTTAACCATCCTATTCTTAGCAGGAAGCTACAGACATCTCTTACCTTGTTTGGGCGGTGGGGGGGGGGGGGGTTGGGGGGAAAAAAAGCTCGAAATGTGGCTATTTTAATGCACGGCGGCGGCGGTTGTTGTTGTAATACGGGAAGCGGGGTCAGCGAAGGGGAAAGACCTCCAGTGAACCAGCGTCGGCCTTCCCGCTGGTAATATTGGATTTTACGTGGTGTTTTGCTTTTACTATAGTATCTCTCCCTCTCCAGCCCATCCCCCTCCTCCGTCTCCTTCGCCCTCACGGAGCGGCCACAAAATGGCGGCGGCGCCGCAGTCGACAATCGGGCGGCTCCTTCCCCTCACGCCCCGGCGACGTGGGGGTGGGTGTTGCGTCCGCCCACGTCACCCCATTGGCTGGGAGCCATAGTACCGCCCAGCGCTCTCTGGACGTCTATTGGAGAAAGCGCCCGTCCGTAAAGGCGTCTGTGGCAGCCGATTGGTCTGGGAGACTGTCTGTCAGAGCGTGCTGCGGTCCGAATGGGCAGACCGCGTGTCCGTCAGCCGTCCGCGCCCCTCCGCCTGTCCCATTGGTCGGATGTCTCCGCGCCGTCCCGCCTACCCCTGTCGACCGTTGGTCCGCGCGTCCATCGGTCAGGCCAGGAGGCCAAATGATTGGCCTATATCAATGTCGATCAAGTCCATCCCCGCTCCCAATGGCCAGTATGCCCGTCCCTCAGCAGTAACCGCCCGCCGCCTGACACAATGGTCCCGCTACGGCTGCCACCATTGGTCAGTGCAGCCATCGCTCAAAGTCAACGCGACTCGATTGGGCATTATATTTGTCCATAAAAGTAAACGCCACGCCCAATGGCCTGTCCGCCCGTCCGTCAACAGTAACCGCCCACCGCCTGTCACAATGGCCTCGGGGGGGGAGGGGGTGAAAGACCAGCCTATGCCTACAACTATTGGCCTATTCGGCCATCAGTCAAGGGAAGCCGTCACATGATTGCGCAGTCTGTATGTCGGTCAAGGCAAACGCTACACCCAATGGTCAGTCCGCCTGTCCGTCCACGGCAACCGCCCTCCGCGTGACACAATGGTCAGCAAGGAGCTGTACCCTCCCGCCTATCACTACCGCCCCTCGCAAAACCCATTGGCCAGAATCGACGGAACCGCCCAGGGTGCCACCTCTGCCCAATGGTCAGTATGCACGTCTTTCAACTGCACACAGACTGATTGGCCTTTACACTTGTCCATCACGTTTCCACGTCCCCACTGCATCCTATTGGACAGTACAAGCCGCCTGGCCAGCCTCTCATTGGGTTAGCCGCCGGTCCGTCCAACGCCTATTGGCGGGTCACGTCTCCGCCTGATTCTCATTGGACTAGCTACCCGCCTATCCAGCGCCCGCCACGCCTCCAGGCACCGCCCCGCCTGACTCTCATTGGTCTAGCCTCCTGTCAGTCCAGCACTCCTTGCGCTTCCATTGGTGGTACGGCGTCCGCCTGGCTTTCATTTGGTGAGGCGCCAGTCTGTCATTGGTTGATCCCGCCTCCGCCGGAGTCCGATTGGACCCGCAACTGTCCGTCAGACAGACTCCCCAACACCCGTAGAATGCGAGAGAGTTAAAGAGGTGTCTTTGTTTGACAGTTTTATGAGCTACCCCTAGGCAGGTGGAATCACGATCCCCTGAAAGAATGGAATGTCTATCACATTACCTCTTCGAAGCCGACCAACCTTCTGGAGAGCCACCACGTTGGACAGCTGGTACACAGCAAGATCCCACAGACTGCAAAGAGCATGTTTGTTTTGGTGATGCCATTTTCTGCACTGACCCACGAAGCCTCCCCACCACAGGCTCTGAATCTAGACTTGCAGGAGGAGGCCGCCTCTAGTATCACTCACAAAGGCATGTTGACCCACTGACAGTGCGGCACTCCCTTGGCATTGACTCTTTACATTGTATCTAGCCCTGTACTGGGAGTGTTTGATGGAGGGAGACGGTGTAGAGTAAGCTTTACTCTGTATCTAACCCCGTGCTGTCCCCGTCTTGGGAG